TTAATATTCAAAATACATAAATAGCTCAAATAACTCAACATCAAAAACAAGCAACCCAATTTAAAAAAATCGGCTTTTTAAAATTTGCATTTTTTAAATTGAAGTATAGTCAGTTTACAATGTTATGCCAATTTCTGGTGTACAGCATAATGTTTCAGTCTTACATATACATAATATATTCATTTTCATATTCTTTTTCATTATGGAGTACCACAAGATACTGAATACAATACTTTGTACAAGGGTTCCCTTTTCTCCACATCCTCACCAACATTTGTTATTTGTGCTCTTTTTGATGATAGCCATTCTGACAGGTGTGAGGTGATACCACATTGTGTGTTTGATTTTCATTTCTCTGATGATTAAGTATATTGAACATCTTCTCACGTGCGTTTATTAGTTTTAATTGTTCATTTTTTTACTAGATTCCTTAGGATTTTCTATATATAAGGTTATAACATCTGCATATAGAGATAGTTTTGCTTCTTCATTTACAATCTAGATGCCTTTTATTTTATTTTATTGTCTAATTGCTCTTCTAGAACCTCCATCGTGATGTTGAATAGAAGTGGCAAGAGCAGACATCTTTGCCTTATTCCTGATCTTAGGAGGAAAACATTGTCTTTCACTATTAAGTATTACGTTGACTATGGGTTTTTGTAGGTGGTGTAATGATCTTTGAAAGAATTTATAATGGTTACATTTCTCTCTGACACAGTTGCATTACCTAAATACAATAGCATGATAGAATTTGACAAAATTGGAATTAATATGAAGCAAGGAATAGGGTTATATCTTGTTGTTTTATCTGTAACTACCAGCCACCTTCATCTTTATGCTTGCCCTGCCCATAACCTCCACCAAAGGAACTGATCCACCATTGGACCCTGCTGCCTTAGGAGCCATACGTGGCCATCATGATGATATCTTCCTTCTTCCCCATCCTTCAACTCCATTTATTGGACTGGAATAACTATCTGACCCAAGAATCCTCAGGTGAGACAGTAATCTTCACTCTGTAAGGCCAGAGTCAAAAAGATTAATTTGACTAAATGAATTCTCTTTGTCATGAGTTGGACCTAAGGAACAAAGCAAAAAATTATCAGTTACTGGTGGAAGCTTTAGCCGAAAATTTATGAGACAGAATCAGGGCTTGGGAGGCCATAATGGACCATCTATGAGCTAAAATTATGGGGAAGTGGAAATTATAAATAAGCAGAAGCAGTTATTAAAGCAAGATAGAAAGAAGTAGATTCATAGACTAGAACTGAGTAACACTAACTGCAGAGTAGTAGAGGAACGATTCTTGAATTTCTGCATCTAAGGTATCTAGAATGAGCTTGAATCCAAAACAGATTTCCAGCTTTAGTTCTTGGATTTCTGTGAAATCCTAGGTTCCTTGTTCCTCCACATGAGTTAACTTAAAAGGGTCTTTTTGCTTTTAAATAAATGAAATAACTAAAAACATTCAGAATGAACTTGTCATATTTGACAATAATTTTTTTTTCTCAAGTGTCTTGAACTCCAAAGGGAAAGACATGGGAAGAGTATGGAAATTATTTTGGGGGTAGTAAAGAATACAACCTATGTTGCTTAATGTTGTTATTAGTTGTTATAAATATGATCAGTATTGACTAAATAATTCCTATTTAGGAGAGATGTTTGGTAAGGTTCTAATAATAATATTGTTAAAATGACAATATTGTGCATGATAAATTCTTCAAGGATAAGGCATTTGGGAAGAAACCTTGTCAATGGGGAACATCCCCTAAGGATTTAAAATGGTTTGATGGTGGCACCAATTATAGATAATACAAATGGCAAGAGGCTCTGTCTTGGCAGCTGGCACATGATTTCAGATGAAGAGTAAATTGTGAAGATGAGATAAGTAAAATGATTGAGATTAGTTAGAGTTGGGCTTTATACAATAATGGCTGCTATTTAGTGAGGTGTAGAGTACAATTTTTCCCATCTGAATTTGATTAAGGCTGCTCAGCTGCCAACAAGGACTTTGTTAATGGAAGACAGGAAGAGCTAATGATGGGAAGAGTTAGCATGTAACTGAGATTCGCTGCAATTTTTGACATGTTAGAAGAGCACATGAGAAGCTAGTGGGATACCTTGGCATTTAACTGGGAGAGATAAGGACTCCTTGGGTAGTCAGAATTGTGGTAACTGAGTTTACTACATTAATTGGTTAGTAATCATGCTTTGTTAATTATAGCAAATATACTAAAATGTGATGCTGCTTTTGTTGATTTTTGGATAATAAATTTGGGTAGGGTGTTAATTTCCAGGCTTAATCAAGCTAATGTTCATGGAGAGCCAAACATAGGATCTAGAATTAAAATAAATAAAACAATTATCACCCTGGTGAACTTTAGTATAGAAATGATATGGTATAAGCCAACATTTTAAGAGTGTGGATTCAACAATGTAATTAATTGATTTCACCTAAATGTAGTGGAGTGTAAGCATGAAAGTTTGCATTCTCTTATACAGGTGTGAGTCCTAAAATTTATTCCTTCAAAGTAACTCTTACTCATTTTTATGATTGCGTATTAATCAGGATTCTCCAGAGAAACAAAGCCAGTGGCGTATATATATATAGATGTATAAGAGGAGATTTATTGTAGAAATTGGCTCAGGTGAATATGGAGGCCAGGAAGTTCCATGCTCTGCCATCTGTAAGCTGGAGAACCAGGAAGGGCTGGTGGTATAATTCGGTCTAAGTCTGAATGCCTGAGAACCTGGAGCATAGTTGTCCCAGCGCAAGTAGAGAGCATGTAATCCCTTCCTCCACCTTTATATTTTATTTAGTTCCCCAGTGGATTGGATGACTCCCACCCACATTGCTGATGGGGATCTTCTTCACTCCTGATTTACTACCTATTCAAGTGCTAATCTCTTCTTGAAACACCCTTACAGAGGCACCCAGAAATAACGCTATACCAGCTTTCTGGGCATCTCTTAGCCTAGTCAAGTTGGCAGATAAAATTCACTGTCACACATATGCATGTTATTGTGAGGCAGCTTGAGATATGTTTAAAACACATGGTTGTTTAAGGTGGAGAGAATTTGTTCACAAGTGACTATGGGGTATACCAGAAGTAGAGATTTAATTATACTCATCGAGTTATGGTATATGTTTTTATATGGCTAATTTTTGGTAATTGTGATAGACTTTGATATAGAATGCTCTTGAAAAAATGGTATTTAGCATATTTATTGAAAATTACATTGCCATGTTCTACTAATAAAACCTTTCCAGTGGGTGTGAAGAATTTTTATATCACCTGAAATAAATTTAAATTTACTTACAGTTCTGGTATGATTATGGTTGCTTAAATAAGGATGTGGATAAATCCTACGATTATCAGAGATTGAGCAGGAATATTATATTCCTTAGTTAAATTTGATATCATGATGGTAACAAAAAATAATTAATAGTCTAAGAAAAAAATGGAAATTTTATTTGAGACAACCTGAGGATTATAACTCAGGAGACTGTCACTCAGAGAGCTCTGTGAACTGTTCTGAAGAGATAAAGGGGGAGGCCAGTATATATGTGATTTTGGCCAAGGGAGTACGTGCCATCAAGCACACATCTCAGTAGAAGGTGGCTGCTAGTCATGAGGAACAGACATCTTAGTTAATGGTTTTAGAGCTTTTCTAAGTGTGGGAAGATGGAAGAATCCAGGCTCATAAAAATTTTCTCCTGAAAATATCTAACTATTTGAGGGTCAGGGTCAGTTCTGTCAGTTTTCCCAGAGCACAAAATGTCTCATCCTGATCTTCACCCTGAATTCCTTTCAGGGTGTATTGTAGGTCAGTGACTGCAGTGGCTAATGACTTGATTCTTGTAGAACTGGGTGCAACCTTCTTTACAGTCCTTCAGGAAATGAACATTCAATTTCAATAAAGTGTGGGAAGTGCTAAAAATGGGGAAGTTAAGAATGTGATAGGAGCACATAGCAGGACTCTTTAATTATTCTGGGGTAAACCTAAAACAAAGAAAGTTTTCATGATGAAGTGATATTTATGTCAAGACTGTAAAGATGAGGAATTAAGCATTGGGAGGGGGAGGAGGAGAAAAGTGTTTCAAGCAAAATCTACAGTCACATGAAGGTCTGAGGGTCAGAGAGAACATATTAATGATGATTCTTGTAAAGAGCATAGCAAGTTATTTCATATTATATATATCTTACTTATTCAATTAGAGTATAACTGATGTCATGAACACAGCTATATACATATAGAATGCTTTCTTTTCAGTGAATTTAATTGTGAATCATCATGTGCTCCTTTCACTTTCACACCTTTCTTTTTCTGTCATCTCAGTGAAACTTCTCAGTGACAGCCAGTGGTTCAAGGTCCCTCAGTTCAGGGTTGATTGTATTAAAACTTTATTTCCCGAGCACAATGCACTCTGCCTATGTTATCTCATATAATTCTCCCAACAACCTTGCCAGCAAGTATTAGTATCTCCAGCTTATACACGGGGAAACTGAGCCTCACATAAATAATATGTCCAAGGTCACAGATGGTGAGGATGCCAACTCCTGTCTGTCTGCCTCCCTAGTCCATTCTTTTTGCACTTGGTTTTACTGCCTGTAAATTACAGAGTGGATTGTGAGAGGCCATGTTTCAGAAAATGAATTAAGCTTTTTGAAATTGAAAGCCTGTCATGAGACTCTTTTCTATTCACCCCTCATTCTAAAAATCTTCACTCTGAAAATAAATAACAAAGGAAAAAAAAACTCCATTCTCCCATCCACACTACTGCCTTTGAAAAACTCATCTGTACTAAACGAAACTAGAGATTCCTTAAGTCCCAAATTCCTTGGTTTACCTGCTTTAATATTTGAAAGTGTGTTCATCAGGAACACATGTTCATCAGGAACACATTCCTGTTCATCAGGAAATGTGTTCCTTTATAGAAATTCATTCCTTTATGCTTCGGTTTAAACCAAATGTCTCATTGATGTACTCCACGGCAGGGAGAGAACAGAGAGGAAAGGGAACCAATATTCAGAGGCCCAATGCCAGGACCTGTGCTAGACCCTTGAAAGACATTAGCTTATTTCATCCTCAGCATGGACTGTAGGGTAGAGCTTATAATTCTCCTTTGACAAGGAAGGAAACATGGACACAGCTTCCTGAGCTGCAGAGCTGGGATTTGAACTCTTGCTGGTAAGTATTCAAAGTCCACGGTTTCTCTACTACACTGTGCTGACTATTCGTTTATTTCTTTCAAATTTTTCATTGAGAGAATCTGCATAGTATCATTGAGAATATTAAGATGATAATTTAACTCAGTTATTTAACAAGACCCTTGTTTTCTAATTGGCTCTGTATTGCTGTTGGGCCTGGTGTGTAATAAAATCCTGAATATTTAATACATTACATGCTCATTTAAGTTTTCACCCCAGAATCTGGCTGCTTGTCACCATGTATATATGCAGTTTCCATCGTTTAACTCTTCTTCCTAAGTATACTGCTTTGAATTCATTCTTATTGTTTATTTTCCCGCATTGCGTCCGATGCAGTGTCATATATCCGTGTACCTATGGAAGTCACTGTGTATGCCCTGAACCTTGATGTTTTGCTCTCCAGGCCGCGCACATCTATTCTCCCAGCTCTGTGGGTTTGGCCAGAAGGACCTTGAAATTTGTGGGCCTGGCCTCAATCCCCAGCATCCCGGTTGCCCGCCTTTGGAGAATGGACAGCTCCTGGTATGTAGGGCTGCGCATGCGTCTAGGACTGAGGCCCCTTGAAGCGGGAAGTAGCAAGGAACTGGAGAATTCAGCTCCTCTCTGATTCCTCTGTCGGTTATAATGCTGCTCCCCTAATTTAATTCTGTGTCCAGTATAGTGCCCACTTCTCCCTATTTTGTTATTTAAACAGTTACCTCGCCACATCACACCTTGCTAGAGTGGTGTGGAGAGGCAGGGGAACGGAGGCAAAGCCGAAGTCTGAGCAGGTGGTTGAGAACACTTAGGGCTTCTTTCTTTTTCCGTGGAGCTACTGGCATTCTTAAAGGGTTTCACTCCATGCATGGTGCGGGGCGTAGATGTAGAAATAGCCAGTTTAAAAATTTCAAATTATTTAAAGCGGGATACTATACAGAGTTATTGTTTTTAAGAACAACAACAACAGAAAGAAAGGAAAGAGAAAGAAAGGAAGAAAGGAAGAAAGGAAAGAAAGGAAGAAAGAAAGAAAAAGAAAGAAAGAAAGAAAGAAAGAAAGAAAGAAAGAAAGAAAGAAAGAAAGAAAGAAAGAAAGAAAGAAAGAAAGAAAGAAAGAAAGAAAGAAAGAAGGAAAGAAAGAAAAGGAAAAAGAAAAGAAAGCAGACAGACATAAATTCTGAGAAACAGCCCTAACAAGTATGGATTTAAGGGAAGTATTTCATGAACTCGTGAAATAAAAAATATTTTTTAAGTAAAGGAGCAGTCCCTTAAAGTCACAGGTCTACTATCTTGTAGACATTCTTTAAAAATGCACTAACAAATTTC